GCCTCTGCCTCCCCCCCGCCGCCAGCCCGCCCCCACGTCCAGGCTACGTGCAGCTGCCGAGCCCCAGGATGTGGGGTGCAGACCCTCAGCACACAGGGCAGCAGGGTGGAGACCCCCAGGGCTCTCACCTCCTCCATCGCGGGGAAAGAGGCACACTCAGCGCCAGCAACATCACCCCCAAACCCCAACATTTTCCATCCTTTCCCGCCTCCGCTGCAGCAGGCCAGGCTTTGCGGCAGCCCCTCGTCGGACCGGACAGACAGACAGACAGACAGACAGCTGGACGACCAGCCCTTAAAGTCACAGTGAAATTTCCCAGCAAGGGGGCGTTCGCAGCCAAGTGGCTCAGCAATGGATGCGATCTGCAAATTCAGCCTTCAAAGGCTTTGTGGCGGAAGCACATTGTCTTCACAGCAGCAGCAGGAAAATAATTGTAGAATTAAATTCCCAGGAACAATTAGAAAGAAAATGAGAAAAAATCCCAACCCTAAATGTAAAGAGACATTTCAGAGCCAGCAGATTTCGGGGCTTTTTGATGCATTTGAGTCCATTTGCTCGTCCCCATGGCTGCACTTTGTTTCATTTCACTGGGCTCGTACAATGCAAGACAAGGAATTAACGCGGGTGTTTGTTTAGAGCCGGTTTGTCTTCCAGTTTCTTTCCAAAGCCAGGTTTGACTTTCAAAGATGTTTCTCGGCAATGCCCGGGGTTCTCACTGTCAGCATGGCGCGGGGCTTCCCCGAGGGGAAACTGAGGCTCAGAAATCCCGCACGACCTGAGGTCCCCTCGGAAGCGGGGGCAAGAGCTGGAGCACAACTCAGCTTGCCTGGCACAAACTCGGGGTTTTCTGCCGCAAGCCTGTCCCTCTCCCTTTTATTTATTCCAAAGATAAACTGTTTTCTTTTCAAAAGTCCAGCAAAACCAGATGACGGAAGCTGTTTTATGGGTTCCAGCTTTAACAACCTCTGCTTGTTTTCTTCTCTTTCCCTCCAACAAAGCTTCAAATTTGGGGTCAGACTCAATTTGATATTCAACTTTGCATTCAAAACTGCACGGTGCGAGGCAGTAGCACCTGGCCTTTCCCACAGCCGTTTGCTGTGGGAAAAGCTACCAGCTTTGCTGCCCCAAAATCAGCTCCCCACCTTATTTGCAAGGGCTGGGCTTTGCAATAGGCAAATGAGAGCCCTCCATCAGGTAGCGGGAGGTGGGGTTGTACCTGGGGGGAGCTTTTAAGCAACAAGAAAAGCACAACCCAGAGCACACCCTCAATCGCCAAGCTGCATCCCGGCCACTGCACCGGTCGGAAACATGGTGCCTGAAACCCTTGGCTTCCTTCATCTCCGAACGGCAGAGCTCGGGTCCCGGGAGGAAGGAGGGGGTGGGCTTGGTGATGACCTTGCTACAGCAAAGCCCCCGTGCTTGTAAATCACCAGGAGCCGTGGCACAGCCAGGCAGGGAGGGACGGCAGCGGCGGCGTTTCCTCCCGAAG